GGCGTGAGAACCGGTTCATGCGGTTGTCCGTCATGGATGAAGAACCGTGGCCCATTCGGCGCCGCAATTATGAAACCTCTTACACTTAACTGCCCACTTCTGAAGTGCGGGTGCTTGCTGAAGAACCGTGCTCCACGGAAAGGTTAAGAGCAACCCACGCGCTACAAAAGGGTGCGCAAACCGCCGAAAACTTCCAGGTGAGATGGGGCATGCGTGCTGCCGCGGGCGGTCAACCAATGCCCAACGACATGGGCTGTTGCGGCACAGAGGTCTTAACGTGAAGCACAGCCGGGGTTCGTAGCTTTCCACCTTTAATAGGAGGGCCGCAGGGAAGGGTGCAACCGTAACGGTGGTCATCGCCATCATTGATGAGCGGGATCGCTAAAAAGACAACACACACACAACACAAAACCATACGACCCGGTCGTTGGAGGCATCTCTACGCCTGGTTGAGAGGGAGAAAGAGAGAGGGGGGGGGAGGGAGAGAGAGAGCGTGCCTGCCTGGCAAGCCCATCACAAGCCTTGCACATCAACATCGCGCTCTTTCGACCTTCGGGTGGAGGATGTGTATATGGTCTCACCCTTGAGATAGTTGGGGTGCTCGTTGTGCTTGTTGACGTGCTCCGCTACGGAGTCCGACCTCACCAACAGCGTCGTCGGGATCTGCATCATCACGCGGGGCACCGTGCGCCCACAAGACACGGACGGGGGGGGAGAGGTCCACGGAGCACGGACAGGGTGTGTGTGAAAGTGGTGAAAAGGCCAGAGGGTGAGTGAAGCTACTTGTGCGCGTATGGTGTGTGCGTGATTGTTTCGAACAGAGAACCCAACGCGCTAGTTGGGCTGACCCACGAAAGATGTCAGCAACCGTCCGTAGCAAGCGGAAATAATGCGACGAAACAATATTTTCCTCCCTCCCCAGAGTTTAAAGCAACGGCAAACAAAATAGACTGTAGGGAACGTTCATGTACCAGGAGAAATGGGGAGAGCGAGAGCGAGATACAGAGAAAGGAGACGCCTGCTGTGTATTGCCGCAACCTCAAATCTTGGCAAGCCCCGAGGTTTTAATCTCGGCACTCCACCAAGTGTCAAGCAGCCACTCAGGGTGCACTTCGCTCAAAGAGTTCTCCTCCCTCTGTCACCGAGGTCAGCGCCTGTTCCAACGCAGTACGGCGGTAGTTTCTACTTGTAGTACGTTGCCGTGTAACTGAGCTATTGCCTCCCCCCCCAGCCCCCCCCTCCAGCAAAAGCAAGGATGATGACCAGCCTGGGGCGGCGAAAGCCCGGCATATCGCTCCGTCCCGGCATTGTAGGGATGCGAGGTCTATGTCCTACGGCATGCGTTTGCACGAGAATGCCCCCCCCCCGCCTCTTCCAACAGAGCCAGACCACAACCTCATCAACCTAATCGACTTCTTGTTTCTTCGCCGTCTCTACTCCGGCACGACAACAAAGGGCAATCGGACATGTCCGACAATCACACAAAAAAACACGAAATGACTCCTCGCACCTGATTTCTAGCTAGCACGAGGCTGAGAGCAAGGCCAAAGTTGCCTCCCCCCATGACGGTGATGCGAACAGGGAACGGTAGAGCCTGGAACAACCCCTCCTGTCGCACGAGCGATTCGCGGGAACGGCGGGGGGTTAGTCTGTTGCCGGCCTTGCACGCCGTTTACCTAATCCTTACCATTTACTTATAGCGCACCGACTCGCCGAATACCTCACGGCGCTTCGCGCTTGGTGATGTGAGAGCCTGGTCCGGTGAGAAACCGGCGTGCTCCGTCCCGGCTTTGTAGGGATGCGAGGTCAATGGTCTAACGACTACGGCATGCACGACTATGAGTGAGTACATGAGTACACCCCCCTTACCATTTACTTTGACCCATATGGCCTCTCACCCTCACCAATTGTTGCGGTCTGGCGCCGAGTCTCACATCTGTCTTGTCTGTCTGTCTGCCTGTCTCTCTGTGTTCAAGCCATTCAAGCCCTTCAAGCCTGCTCGTGTCAACAAGTCTCAAAAATGCATCACGGACTACATGTAAATGCTCTCCGCCAACCCTGCAGCACAGAGAAACAGGGTCGAAAAGGCGGTGGGGTTGTAACCGTCTCGTCGAAAGTATAGTTTGAAAAGCTCTCCGAAAACCTATCATTCGAGTGTAGGCGTCAACTTCATGTGGAGTAATCGAGCTTTGAAACTCGATCCAGGGGGCGTGCTATCTTGTGCGACCAACGGTATTGGCTTTGTATTGTCGTCTCGTCGAAAGTTTAGTTTGGAGAGCTCTCCGAAAACCTATCATTCGAGTTTAGGCGTCAACTTCATGTGGAGTAATCGAGCTTTGAAACTCGATCCACGGGACGTGCTATCTTGTGCGAACAACGGTATTGGCCTTGTCTGGTCGCCCTAACTAATGCAGAGCGCGGGCGCCCGGCGTCCTCCCGGCTTCAGCTATTTTGCAATGAAGAAGCATTAGCATGGAGGCCGGGGTGGCGGATTTGAACCCGAGTTCTGAACCACCAAAAGCAGATATCTCGATATCTCCTCGCCGCCACCAATGAGAAAAAGGCAGAGATGAGAGATGGAATCGTCGAAGACAGACAGACGTTGAGGACACTCAACAGCAGCAGTAGCACCCGCTGTGAAGGGGACCTGCACATTGCAGCAGTAGGCCCCCTCAGGACACGCCTCTCACCCTCATGTACAGCGACGGCCTCCAGTCGCCGAGGTCCTTCCCGGAGCTTCTCCTTTGCCGTCTCCTCATTGTCAACTTCGCCGCCCCCCCTCCTCCTGCCGCCCCCGCCCCCGCCCCGCCCGCCGTCGCCGACGCTTCCCCGTCCTCCGTCAACGCCCGTGTTGCCACCGCCGCCGCTCCCCGCCGGGGCCTCCACACCCGCCGCCTTCCAGCTGCCGCCGCCGCTGCTTCCGTCCTCAACGCGCAAAGGAGGGGGAGACAAGACCGCTGATGCTCTCGGCGCTCCCGCTGCGCCCCAAGCCCGGAGATCATCGGCAGGAACGCCAAGCCTCCTCCTCTTGACGATGAGAGTGCAGCAGCAGCGGCGGCGGCGTGTCTCCTTGAGCCCGTACGTCGGCCACCACTGCCGCCGCCGCCACCGCCGCCGCCGCCGCCGCCGCCGCCGCGGCTACCCCAATATGACGGTGACGGCCCCACCCACCCACTGCTACCACCCTGTCTGGTTCCCGACTGCTGCCGTCGCTCTTGATGGCGGCCTCTAGGAACACCACCACTGCTGCTTGCGGCGGCGGCGGCGGTGGTGGCGGCGGCGGGGCGAGCCCCTCCCCGTTGCTGGCTGCTGCTGCTGCCGTTCAGTCGCGGCCTTGCCGTCGGTGTCGTGCTGGCCGCCGCAGCCCCCGTGGCAGTGGCTAGGTAGACCAGCGCCGCCGCCAGGGCGCGGAGGAGGGGCCACTGCAGACGGCTGCGCTGCGAGGACCGTGCCCGAAGGAGCTTCCGAGTGGCGGTCTGCGATGCTGTCGGCTGCTGGACACAAGAGGCAAAAGCTGCGGTTGTAAAAAGCAAAAAGCTTCAATTCCAGGCGTGCGCTTGCGGCTGCTGTGTGTGTTTGTATGCAAAAGCTTGGGCCACGGACCGCGAATGGCCACCGGGTGTGTCGGAGGAAGCTCGTGCAGACGAATGGTCACGTCTCGCCGCGTGTACACACCCGACTCGCGTACACACATCATCATGACACAGCAGCTCTCTTACCGCCGTGTTTCCACACTCTACAATAGGAGGAGGAAACAGACAAGAGAATGCGAACTATATTCGAACAGATGCTGACAGCAAGTCCTGTACTTCTACACGGCACGCAAGTCGGCGCTTATCTGCTCGGTATGACGAGACATACCTTGACTCGTTCCATCTTATCTCCGTCCGAGTACAGCGGAGCGGCCGCAGATAGTTCCCTTTGCTGTGCTCCACAGCAGCGTCGCCTAGTCGTGATACTGGATAGTCCCCAAAACACGGAGCGGGGGGGGGGCCGCAGAATATACCGAAAGATGACGTCTGCTCGACAGGACCCCCCCCCGGTCAGCCGCCCAGCATGAGCAGGTGCGTGCCTTCTTTCTCAAACAAAATATCTGCAGCAGCCACAACCGTGCGACTACGCGACTACACTACAGCGCATCAGCAGTTCGCGCTTGCCTGTGGGGCTCACGAGTCGGAGGAGACGCTAAGGCTCTGGACTTTGCACGCGTGGGGTTTTCGCAAAGTCGCCGTAAAAGATCATGACGCGCTTGTCCGTGAGCGCGGCGGTGGGCGCTGCCCTCGTCGCCACCTCTTCCGCCTTCACGCTGAACGCGGTCCCTTCTTCCTCAGCAGCGATGTCGACATCGTCGGGCCGGGGCCACAGGAGGAGCCGCGCGTGCTCGGCGTCGCGGCAGCAGCCGAGCATGGTCACTTCGGTGCCAAGAACAGTGCCCGAGACGGGCACTAAGGCGGGCGCGGCGTCGAAGCAGAGACTGCACGTTCAGGTCGGTCGATTTTGCTGGTAGTCAGTCCTTCCTTGTCTTTGGTATCTTCCATGTTGTTCGCTACTACCTAGCGTCTCGGCCTCAGCTGCTTCACGCGCCTCGCTAGGCGTCTCTTTGTCACAGCAGTGTGCGCGGAGGGAGGAGCGAGCTGTCCTGCATCCTGGCTGAGCAGCCACAAACCAACCAACGGCGTGTGTTTGTGTGTGTTCGCTGCTGCTGACGAAAACGTATCCTTTTTTTTCCAAGTGGTGTGCGTCGTTCATGTAAAAAGAATGGACACGTACGCGCCTGTCATCACACACATCTTTCGTGAGAGGCCGCACCCTCCGGCAAGGTTCGAAAACGTACGCAAACGTGTGTTATGCGTCATGGTCACATGCAGAGTACATCCCAACTCGCACACGTACGTCTTCCCTTATCCCTTACAGCTGAGGTGGCTGCAGCATGCGTAGCATGCCGGTTCTCTCACTCTCTCTCTCTCTGTCTCGCTCTCCCTCTCTCTCTCTGTACCGCTGCGCCGGGTGTGACCATGCGGGCTCTCTCTCCGTCTCTTTGGAGCTTCTTATTGTGTCTAATAAAAAAAAAACTGCTGTCATACGATCGTTGTTCCGACTCTCATAATTTTTGATACAACTACGTACAGCAGTAGTAGATTCCGGTAAATACTGCTGTTGTAGTCACATCTATGCTTATCACCATCATATGAACAGGTAGCGGTTTCAGGTGCTCAATTGTGTTTTGTCGGAGCGGCCGTGCCGAGCGAGCTGTTTATACAAGAGCTATTTGCCAGCCTGTCTGGCCGCCCTGGTCATTTGCGCTGTTAGATGAAGGCTACAATTGGAATTCTGACTGCTCAGCAGTGTAAATGGATTAAACATTTTACCAGTATCTAATATCTTAACAAGATGCGCTCTTGGGCTCTTGGGCTCCCAGCTATCTACGGCTGTGAGCTTCGGGGCGAACCCCTTGCCATAGAGTCCCAAGTTTACGCGAGAGCTTAAAAAACCTCTTGAGCAAAGAGCATTCATTTTTTCTCATCAAGAGCGGAGCTGCGCGCTATGTGCTTGTTGGCCTTACTCGCATCACCACTAGAGATATGGCTGAGGCCCAACAAGGCTACTGCTGGTCGCGGCCGTCCCTCCGATTTTGATGTGGGAAAAGGAATGTTCCTTTGCCAAAGAGGTGTTAAGCTCGCGTGCCCTCGAGACGCTGTGGCAAAGGGTTCGCCACTGCTGCCGTGTGACAGCTGGGAGGGGCCCAATCGTGCGGGCAGGCATGCATACCCATCTTGTATGATAGGCATATGCATACATATTTTCATGGCGTTTTTTTTCAACTGCAAGGGTCATCAGGAAGAATCCGAAAAAATGTAACGGTCTTCCTTCTTGACTACGTTTGGCTACAACGTAATGTGCTTTCTGCATTGGTGTGGACCTATGCATACCTGCTCGCCAATGTAGTGCTTGAACTCGCTACGCGCACCTGCATATGTGGATTGCCTACATTAACGTCAGGCTAAATAAGTTCAGCGGTTTGTCCACACACCGTATTGAAGATACGTGTTCGAAAACCCGGCATCGGTGTGCACAATCCCCCGCAACGCATGCACACGCTTTCTGGCAGAACCAATACCTACTCTGTGTTTTGCCCTCTTGACGCTCGTCTCGCACAGTTGGGAGACGCTTTCTATGACCTGACGGGCTGGCGGAAGTTGCACCCGGCCGGGAACCACTGGATCGACCGCTACGCGGTGAGTCCAATGCAGGCGTCACGGACAGGGGGGGGGGAGGGGGGTTCTCATGCAAACGCATGCCATAGTCGTTAAGACCGCTGAACCCGCATCTCTACAGTGCAGGAAAGGAACGATATGCCGGGTTTTCACTGGCCAAGGATGAAGCAGAAGCTGGTAAGTGTCATCATCCTTGCGTTTGCTGTGCCGCGCCAGATATGCCGTGGGTTGATTGGGCATCCCGGCTATCCAAAAAGGGGTAGAGGGGGAGGGGGGGGGGGGCAGTGATCCTGCGCGCGTGAGTGAGCCCGCTACGTGACCGTCAATGAAAAAATTCGCTGGGTGTGTGTTGCGGTGTTTTTGCGTCGCAGTTTCCGACTACAACATACAAGTGGAAAGAACTGTTCAGTCTTCTTGTGAGGAGGCAAGACGTTCTTTGGTTTTCGTAGTTCTGGCTGCGGCGTCGACTTTAGGCGCTCACACCGCGGCGGCGCCCTGTCGGAGAAACGACGGGTACCCACGACGGACCTCTAGCCGTCGTTGCCACACACCAATTTGAACCATTTGCTATGAAAGTTGCTCCGGAGTCGCTGCAGCCATTCGCTCACCTTGGAAGCGTTTTTGGGTTCCCCTTCGTTTCGTGAATTTAATTCGTATAATCTCCTTTCGGGTATATGACGGCGGCCGCCACGTCTGCTGCCACCTGCCGCCGCATGACACGGGGCAAGCACACCACTGAACCCCCCCCCCCCCACCCGCATGAAATTGCTTGCTGTTTTCTTCTTCTTTTTACTCGTTCGCTACCCCCCGAAAAATGATTTCCGCGGACGGGTATGCATAGGAACGTGACGCGACGGACGTGATGGCGGCTTTCCATTCAGACGATGCGTTCGACAGGCTCAAGACTCTGCCCAAGGTCAAGGGCAAGGAGATCGTCGAGCCCAATTCCGTCACCAAGAACTTCAGGGCTTTCCGGAAGGAGCTGGTAAGAAGGTTTAGGGGGGGCGGCGGGGGGGGGGGGGGGGGGGGGGCTGGTTTTTTTTCCCCGGGGGGGAAAAGGGGGGGGGGGGGCCCTTTTTTTTTTTAAAAAAAAAACCGGCCCAAAAAGGGGGGGAAAAAACGGGGGAAAAGGGGGAAAAAGGGGGGGAAACCGGGGGTTTCCCCCCGGGAAGGGGGTTTAAAAAAAAAAGGAAAAACGGGGGGGGGGGGGGGGAGGGGGGGGAAACCCCTGTTTTTCCCAAAGTAAAGGGGGTGGGAAAAAAAACCCCCCCCCCTTTTCCCAAAAGGGGGGTTTGCCTTTTTTTTGGGGGGGGGACGGGGGGGGGGTTTTTAATGGGGGGGGCCCAAAACCCCCGGGGGGGGGG